ATTTTGCACTTTTTTATCAATTACAACCATACTATTATATATAACTACTTTTCACGTTAGTATGTAAGTCAGATAAGTAGACTATAAAATAAACCAATAGCTGATTTTCTAACACTCTTTGTTTTCCTTCTGCACGGTCTCAAACCTTAAATGCGTCGTCTTAAACCAGGCTATCCTAAGTCGTTAAATTTTACTCCCATCGCCGCTGAATCATGTTAGCTGAAAGCTGTTTAGTTTTACCAATTTAAATTTCCATCACGTATTTCCAAAAGGCATTGATAAAACCTTTCAACCGTTAGACATTAAAAATACTGCTGATCTTAATGGTCTTTCCGTTAAAGTAATTAATTCTATAGTTGATTGTATTGCACCTTACTTAGCACATTGTTTTTACGATGTGTATTGATGATCTGATTGTTCGGTGGTTAGAGATAACATATCGGGCACAATCCTGAAAAGGTGTATAGACATGCTCTTAGAACCTATATTTGTAATCTGGCCTTAACCACGAGTACTTTCCCCGATGTCCTAAAGTTAGCGGAAGTGCTTCCCATTTGTTCCCATTGTGTAATTCCCATTCAAGAGTGGTGACAGAGAATGTGTTAACTTTCAACATGAGCTTAGGTATGGACGCTCTACCAACCAAGCTGTATATGAATTCACAAACTACATAGTAACTAGTATTGATGACAAAAAGGTAATTGTAATCTTCTTAGACCTCACTGTGACGATGCTGACCTCCATCATTGTCATCCACCTGTTTATCATCCTTTTTTGCAGTTCCTGGCCACTTATTTTAAAATTTTGAATCGTTCTCGAATTCCCTTTATGCTTTTCTTTCACTATTTGTTCTATCCGTCGTCATTATCATCAAAATGTTTGAAATGATGCTTTGATGCTCTTTCGAGCACAATTCGTGAGTTATCGTACATCTTTAAGGCAGAGGACAGAGGCATGTAAACCTGGCACTCTGTCAATCGCTTTTGGGTGTGCCACAATGTGAGGTGCAGCATCCGCGTCGATTTTGCTTCCGTTCGAGAGAGGTCAACGCCTAATACTTACGGTTAGTCACTTCCTACCACGACGATGTAAAGTCCTGTCATTCCGACAATTATTTATACTCCATTTCATTTTACTGAAATACTGAACATTGTATTTCGACTCTAGGTACTAAGACAAAAGAAGAAAACACAAGTAAGTTCCGAAGTAAATTTTCTGCGAAATGGGGAAATCTTTTTGTTTCCTCGGGTGTTACTTATACAACAAAATTAACAATATTCTTGGAATGTACTCTTTATGTATGTGAATGCAAAAGTAAAATCCTGGACTAGTTCCTGGGTCTCAAATCTTAGGCCACAGAGGACGCCCTGTCGGCTTAGTGTTCTCAAAATGTAGCGTGTCTATTCAACGATATCTATAGGCACCGCGCAAACGCGTGTCTTGTGTTGCATACAAGCAACTGGCAACTAAAATATTCTATTTTCATACAATTGACGTGAAATCGATAGGTACAGTTGCCCACAGACCACATAAATACTGTCTTCCGTGCAGTTGCCGGTTGGTTTATTTTAGCTACGTCACAATTTAACGTGATATACATCATTTTACTTTGGGGTAATGCCGCCGATATCAAGAGAATCTTTTTACAATGACAATTGACAAAGTAGTGAAATAAAAAAAAAATACATGAGAGTTTGTACAGCTTCTGCGTACTTGGATGAAAAAAATTCATGGTTTAGCTCTTGTAGGTCATTTCGATCTATGTATTTGAAATAAATATTGTACCTAAATGATAAATTAATACAAATGTTTCAAAATCAAAATAATCTTTATTTCATAGGTAAGCATTATTACACTTGAAATCGTCACATTGGTTAAACTCTACTTTTCATTCGTAAGGCAGATTCCCCTGAGAAGAATGTGCAAGAAACTCTAGGGGTTGCTCTTTGTAAATAACATTTGTACGCATTCAACATTACCATTCATCATTACCATTTCCGTTCTTTTTTTATCGCGTACACTGCAGAACTGAGCCGTTTTGATAACTTACTTATATGTGGAGCCCATTGCGATTTAGCATCTAACGTTATATCTAGATATACAACTGAAATCACAAGATTTAGTTTTTCGTTTCTAACTACAATGTTTATAACAATCTCTCTAGCATTGGGTAATGTAAATGTCACACAATTTGTTTTTTTCTCATTAAGAAGCAGCTTATTAACAGCAAACCAATCAACTACTTTAGATATAGTATTGTTCACATCGTCGTAGGAACATTGGCGCCTTTTAACTTTAAATAATAATGAAGTATCATCAGCAAACAATACTATCTCATGTTTTAAACCCTCCATGAGGCTAGGTAAGTCATTAAACTAAAAACAAAAATGGACCTAGAATAGAACCTTGAGGGACACCCAAGCTTATTGCAGACCCTGATGATCTCGCACCGTTAACATAGACTCTCTGGTAGCACAACCACTCACACTTTTTTTACAAAGAGCAACCCCAAGAGTTTCTCACAATCTTCTCAGGTGATATTGCCTGACGAATGAGTAGTAGAATTTAATTAATGTGACGATTTCAAGTGTAATTGCCTTACTTATGGAATAAAGTTTGTTTGAGTTTGAGCCTAGAAATATCAGATTAGGTTATAGACTATAGGTAGGTATAAAAAAAACTTAAATTTAAATTCTTTATTTGCCGTACTCAATCTTCACAACTTATTTTTCATTATACGAATAGTATGAAGGGATCGTAAATTGAACACAATGTAATGTAGGTAACAAAGTTTTGAGTTCTAAACCGGCGCTACAGTATTGGGTTTTAACGTCAACGTTTTTGACTGACATTTATTGCGAGGGTACAATCTAAGCCAGTCTTTAATTGCGGACTTCTTGATATTATGTTTAATTTTAAAGGTACGTTAATTTAAGCGAACAGAGCAACAATCGCAGCGAAGCCAACGATGATCGAGGCGGTCACCGCATGCGCACTGCTTATCATGTCATCCTCTCTGTCTGTCAACCACTCTGACATCTTGTTCAGTACGTCATGCTGCACCTGCGCGAGAGCCTCCGAATCGCTATTCTCCGTTGACCTGCCAAATGGACACATATTAAAGATGTTTATCCTACGAAGGATTTGCTTTGGTCTCGACGAACGACAATTTGTCCGTATAAAAAGCACAGTACGGTTTCTTTGTTTGGTTTTGGACTGTCTTTTGAAAATAATTTTAGTAAAAATTAGAGTTACTGGATTGCTCTGCAATGTGAGATTTCAGGCACGACGTAGACGGGCGCGAGGTGTCTGGAGTGGGTCGCTTTGGGCCCCATAGGGGACCACGGGTCGTGACCGCCCACCACCGAGATCACGCGGTCCGGCAAGAAGTCGAGCCCGGCGAAGAGAAGGTTCGTGCGTTGTATGCCCGACCGGAGTAGATCTTCGTCGAAACTGGGAACATAATTATCAAAATATCTTCTGGGTTCGGTTACTTCGGAAAGAGACCCGATAGTTTCTTCTGGATTATATTAAATTAGTATCACGCAACGAAATAAACAATGAAATAAAAGATTTGAGGCGTATTTAGTTTAAAAGTGGTAATAACTTATCTATCTATTCCCATAAAGATATAATCTTATAATATCTTTATGGGAATTATAGATTTATTTACTTTAAATATTCCTACCGGCAGACGGTTTACCTGATGGAAAATAGTGATCGCTGCCCGCCTGTTCTCATTTGCGATACAAGGAAATGTCATCAACATGGCAAATGTGTTTATTGGTGACCGTGTACCTTGTGGTACACGTCTTTTGCGTCTGTCATTGCGCTGGCAATCCTTACCATCGATTCGGAACATAGACGTAGTACTTGACGGTATTACTAATTAGCGCGGTGGTAACTAGTTTAGTCGCAGTAGACCTCTTCGTGAAACAGTTCGTTCAGGGAAGCACTGCCTAGTGGGAACTAGAGCCCTGCCACGTACAAGGGGCATCCAGCTGAATAAAACAGAGCAACAGCATTGTGAAAACGTGAATTTGTTGTTGAAACGTGATTTCGTTCGTGGATGCTCGTTCGTTATTGTAAGTTTATTTATCTGGTATTTCTCATGGTAAGTGAATGTTTGTATTCTGTTTTTAGAAATAAATGTCTTAAACCATAATAAAACTAGCACTGCATTACACTTATTGTATTGAAATAAAGTAGGTACTCGCGCGCACAAATCATTCCATCGTATTATACGACAATAGGTAGTGATAATATGCAAATTTGCAATATCACACTTATTTATTGACAATTCATTTAAGAGCCCAGCCCATATTTTTTCCTACGCATGATACAAATCTAGATTGGTTCAAACGTCCAAAAAGAAATAAACATATAAAATATATTTTAAATTTTTATTGAATTGATATTCAATTTTTTTTTAGCTTAGTTGATAACTTAGTTGGTATAGCGTCTGGCACGGTAGGCTAGAAGACGTCGGTTCCAATCCGGCCGGATCGAAGGAATTTTTTCTGAGTGTTCGTCCTTTGTATTAATAATAATTATACAAAATATAATACATCCAGATATCACCCACATTCGCAAGAAATACGTAGCATAAATGCTCTCCGTGCGAGTGCTTAAAGTAATAAAAACTTCTAGTTTAGCTAGCGACCGTCACACGTGTCTAATTCGTTGGGCATCTATAGAAGAAAAGTGGTTGGCACTAAGGCTCAACTCACACTGGCGCAGAGTCGAAGCGTCGCGTATATATATCGCGTGTTTTCAACTACAACATCACACGTCACATCAACATCATCCTCACTGCTTCGACTCTGCGCCAGTGTGAGTTGAGCCTGGCAGGCGACGCACCGCCGGCGTCGTCGGCACGGTGCAGTGTTGTAAACCAAAATGTAACGGTCGCTAATTTTAATTTTTTTTCGACTTACAATTAACTGTATTTTCATTGTTGCTACCTATAATGCTCATTCCACCCTAAAATGTTAAGTTTGTAAGTCGACGGAAGTGGCGTAGGGATATGATCATAAAGGTTGTGATCCACGATATCTATTGATTCTGGTCTACATCTTTTAACGCCCATAAGAGAGTTTAAAGGAACGATACTTAGAATTCAGTATTTCGAGGACTCTCTCTAAAATTGAAGATACTCGGCGTCGGGGAGGCTCAACAGCATTGCAAGTGTGAATTACAAGAGGCTCGAAAATAGCTGAAAATCGTGGCTGTATGTCGTTCAGCTTAAGTAACACTTACTATTCGGAGATGAAATCCTTGCACATCTGGTGGAAGTACTCGAGGGGGACGGTGGACAGGAACGGCTGTCGAGGGCTAGTCGTTGACTGATACCACCCGTACTCCACACACGTCTGGTATAACCATACACGCACTGCAATGAAGACGCCACGTATTGAAATTTGGGTGCATGGGTAGCCTTCCCAATACTCTCTCCATAATAGTAAAAAGTAAATAAAATGAAGTCTCGCGACTCTTCCGCTGCCAAAACAGGCAGATGTACTGGTTTTAAATTAATTTTAGTCTTAAATTAAATTTAGTTTGCGTTTACTCGAATCGAGACAACAACGACTTCGTTGTAAGTAAATGAGATTTCCAAACAACAATGTAAGCGTATTACGTTAAATTAAGATTTAATTCTTTGAGGGAAATTCGTCTCTACAAGAATTTATGTAGATCAAAGCAAATTCAAATTAAAAATACTTATTCACCAAGCCAACACACTAAATTGCTTATAGGTAAGTTCAATTACAAGAATACAAACTTAAATTACACAGGAATAATATAACAATATGTACTGCTTTTTATTTCCGTGTAACGCAGCGCTAAACCAATACGTTATTGGTCACAGAGAAAGACTGGTGTTCATGAATCGCGCAATTCTGTATTGGAGAGGAATTGCTATTAATTAGCATGAATTGTCAACTTCCTTCTGCTCGCAGGTCGCAGGACAAATTACATTCAATGAAATATAAAAAGGGTTTCCTAATATGTATCAATTATAACAACAAAGTAGTGGAGTACTTTCACAAAAGATACACGAATAATAAAGATTTATATAAGTTTAAAGGTCTGTCCCTTCACACTTGCAACCGTCAGAAGTATGTTTAGAATTCGCATAATGCCGGTCTCTTGCCACTACAATAATGGTCCTTAGTTAGCGTCAATCATTTTCTGACCCCAGGAAATAGACATGGAGTTCCGTAAGGATCAATATTACGACCTTTGTTATTCCTCATCTGTATTAACGACGTGCTTGCATGGTAAAATATAAACCTATTCGCAGGTGATACTCATGTAGGAATATCAGCCACAAATAAAAAGCTAGAAAAAAAACTGTTGTTATGGATAGACTTCGTAAACAGGTTACTGCAAACGGAGTTAATTAATTACTTTTGCAAGTATGTAAATACGTCTGCACTTTTTGTCTGTGGAATGTTAGGCATGTGAATAGAAACTTTATTTGTTCGTATAATCTGCGCTAAGTTATCGGGTTTCGATGACGTCGCATAAATGGTCGCATAAACGTATATGCTTTAAAGTTGTCAGATTTTTAGTGTAGAGGTAGGAACAGTTGTACAATACAACTTCTCTTGTACTTTGTTGTGGTCCATGACGTGATTCTTTTAGGTACTATGTAACATTTTGTACACGATTATGGAATGCAAATATTTAATATATTAAGTTACATTTGTCATAGTCGCCTATATTTCATCATAATAGCGACCAGCTGCGATGGTTGTGCCAGATATAAAGAAGCTACGGTGTGCTTCGGCCGCTGGTCTGATTGGCTGCGTTGATCGTTCATTTTACAATACATAATTACTATATGGTCAAGTCCTACTCTGTATCACCCCGGAACACCTTGTACCGAAACTGTATGGATGGTATGAGATCTTCAGGCTTGTTTATTGCACAATAGTGTATTTTTGAGTCGACTTCTGGCAACCTTTAATGGATGTCGGTGTTACTGGTCGCGAAATGCTTAGCTCTCGGTATACTTGCTGATGTTTTAAATGTGGCAGTGTGTTTTAAACAATGATTTATGAAGTGGACATAGAGTTGTTGAGTTTTGTATTCCGAAAAGTGATTGTATACTTTAAATGGAGTTCGAACTTTATTCGATATTTAACTCTCTAGCGTGAGAGTGCAACGATTTACAATTACTCAATAAATTCTTCTGAAACCATAAGAACTAAGTTCTTCTGGTTCTTGGGTTTCAAGCGTCGCGTCGTGATGTAGCTCGGACGATGGATTTGCTGATTTTTCTCTTCTTGTGTTTGCATTTCTTATACTTAGGCGTTATTATATCTTTAAGAAATTTCTTGTTTTTTTTTTAAATTTTAATTAAGGTGTGATATAATACAAAAATAGAATACACATGGAATTTTCAATTTCGGCCCTGAATCAAGATTTATATTGTATGGTCCAATGAAGTTTTTCTTCGCCTAGCTTCGGAGTTACTTGGGTTGAATAGCACAGAATTCTATGTAAATTTAATATAATTGAGAAAAAATTTGGTGTTATACGAAAATTCTTGATTCTAAAACAGACGAGCAAGAAAATTTTATTCGATAACGCTAAATAATATTTTGGCATTATTTATAAGGGGCTTAGAGCGAATTTCGTTTAGCATAACAAATAGATTCATCGCCTCGCTTCGCTTCGTACTTAAAATTGTAAGGAATTAATTTGGACTCTACTAATACTGTTTAGAGTAAAATGACTGATAAAACTAGGTACCTGCCCACCCACCCACTTACAACATTTCATAATTTTAGAAGCAGTGACCATTTATTCTAAAGATAAAGATACATATCGATTTATTTGTGGAAGTAGGTACAATAAGTTCATCAGATCAGTTCAATACATTAACAGTGCTACTACAACCAGTTTCGTCGAAACATACAAATATAATTATATCTAGAGTTGTAAATTTTATTTAAATAGTTTTGTTTATAAAAAGTTCGTTTATATTATTGTAAATTTCGTGGAGGGAAATTAAGAAGCCAAATGAATAAAATAATAGTAACAACATACTGGTAGCTTGAGGAGCGTCATAGCTGGTGTTCGTATGGAGTGCTAATTGCACTCTGTATTCAGCCTCGATGCAGGGCTGCGTCGAAGGCTGAGCACTGATCCACGCCGCCAGACGCGTCACCGGGTTGGTCGCTGGGGTTGATACAATATCCTTCGTTAAATACAATATTCCGTACGTATGAAACAACTATTACAAAGATGTTGTTGATGAATACGAGGTTATTACACATGAAGCCAATAAAGTAAAATTAAGAGAAGAATATTAATTGATTCATCAATTTTTGGTACATGTGCATGCAATCTTATGCAAGAAGGTATACTTGGGGTACACTCATTGTAACTGTCAGTTCATATTTTTTTGTAGCAGCGAGTCTCATTTGATCGCAATGAACCTGTATACACACAGCTGTGTGGGACCACGCTATAACTTAATGAAAATTATTTTACCTTTATGTGCACAAAATGAATAATAGTGACTTGTCAGTCTTTAATTTAAATTTACAATTTGAAGTAGATGTGAATGTAATATTACATTAAGTGAATTTGTTTTCGAGTTCTTAGGTTTTCGCGATTGTTACACGTAGGAAATGGAACTATTTTTCCGGATTTAAATCGCGTATATTTGTTTTAGTCAACCGTGACCATGGGACCTGTAAAGTGCCCGAAATGTTGGTTTGTTACAAAAAACGGAAAAATAGTTTCATGTCCTATGAATTTGTTTTGCTAAGTTAAACATGTGGAAAACAAAAAAGGAAAAATAATGAATTTCTAGGAAATTTGTATCAAAATCATTGAAACTGTATGCTTAAAAGTTAGCCATAGATACTTACAAATTTGGGTGTTTTGAAGGGCAGTACAAGCGTTAGAAATGTCACCGGGCGTGGCATATTGCACGAGGTACGCGAACGTCTCTGTGATGCCGTACCAGAAGAAGGTGGCCAGATCCAAAGCCGTCGCGCCTTGTAGACTTGAGCACGTACTGTTAAAGAACAGGTAGAGCAGTAAAGTTATCAGCACCATGCACTGAACGCCTCTCTTACTCTTATTATCTGTCAGAGTAAGTTTAGAATTAATCCTGGTCCACACCAACATTTTGCATGTGAGATTGTGTCTTACGTTTTTTTTAATTAGAATAAAGGGTAATTCCGTAACAGCGCCCAGTTATCTATTCAGCATAGGTTCAGGCATACAACAAAATGATCACACGCTAAAACCTTTATTTCTTCTAATAACCGTAACAACGAAAAACATTCCTTCGTACATCGATGTTAAGAGACGATAATAAAGCCCAAAGAAACTGTAAATCGACTCTTAAAAAACTTACTTAAATTGCTCGCTGACCGTGGCAGGTCCATCGGGTGTTCCCAGTAGCGCTACGAGGTCTACCATGGCTTCTTGCACCGTGGATAGGCAGGTCTCGCCGCCCTGTACGCGGAGCGCCTCGGCTATTACTTCCAAGTATTCTGTTACACAGAAGAGATATTTATAATCTCTTTAAAAACTTTATAAAGAATTTGTCAAGGAGCTACCACATTACTATCAATTTATCAACAGACAATTTTTAAAACCGCGTTAATACCTATCGGCATATTCATTCGGCTGCTAACTCACAATCAGCATGCGTATTACTTACAGACGGACAGACGGATTATAGTCTTCTATTCGTATCGCATTGCTTCTTATACACGATGTATAAAAATGCTAATTTGAACGTGATAGAAGGAAAGCTTCGGAGAAAGCCCATATTCAAAGACATATCACATATAGTTTGAGATAGACAAGTCGATACTGACCAGGGAAATCTTCCTGGGCGTGCAAAGGTCCGGAGTCAGAGAACACGGCGTCGACGAGATGCGGGTACGCGAGTCGCATCCACGTCCCCATACTGCCTGCGTACGAACATCCCACCAGAGCCACCTTGCCACCTCTAAGAATAACAATTAATATGAAAAGTCATTAAGAACAATACTTATTACTGTCGTTATGAGTACATATTTTTATTGTAGATTGTGGTGACCTTGCACTTGGAATTCCCATTACAATTATGAGTAACCAATACTAAATAATACCTTCTTAATTCATAAGCGTACAATAAATTAATCATTATTTTAGTAAACAAACCTAATTCTTGGTATTTTTGCGTACCTACTTTGAACGAAGTATATTCATACTTCCGTGTATGTACACAACGACCGTTTTAAATAGTCTTGTTTCTTAACACAATTTATGGTTACAATTGCAAACTGTATTGAAAAATGTAAGTTGCATAATTACGGTCAGGAACACCGAGGGAAGTGGGATTTGAAGCCTTAACTAATAATCCAAAGAGTTTAGCACTATAGTCTGTCAGTCGATAAAACAGATATACAAATTAGTTGAATTTATTTTAAAGAGATGTGGCTACGACGCTATAGGTAAAAGGCTTAAAAAACAAATCAGACAGTTGAGACATCTTGCGAACATGACCTTTGTAAGAAATACGACGTATTGTTCCTCTTACCCCATCTTTTGGGGAAGAAAAATGTTAGCACACTTTGCACGTTTTTGGCAAATACATCGTAAGTATGAAACTATTTTTCCGGATTTAAATCGCGTATATTTGTTTTTTCAAACAAACCGACGTTTCGGGCCCTTTACAGGTCCCATGGTCACGGTTGACTTGTACATCGTAAGTATTGATTTTGACATTTAGCGTAACGATTGTTAAAAATTTGCTAAGCTTCCTAAAGCTCAAAACAAAGTGTGTTCCGCTTATCCACCTGACCTTATTTATACATTAGGTATTTTTAATCAATATATTTATAGTGAATAGTCGATATTTCCAGTTATATAAGGGAATAAGAGGCGCGTGAAAGATAACATAGATGTCATCTGCCAGAGATCGTCCTAGAATGGTGTCCGTAGTATAGTTGCTAGTAATTTCCTCATATTATTCAATTGACCAAGTCAATATTCCAAGAACGGTGACATATGGGCGGAAGTAGCAATTTACGAATGGGCACTCGGTTTGAATCAGCTCTGCGGTATATTAATTGAGTCGTCTTCAAGTGCAGGTGCTCCTAAAGTACATCTTCTAGGCACATTGAGGAACCGTGCCCAACGCATTAGCATAGCCATACAAAGGGGGAACGCTGCCAGCATCTTGGGCACTTGGCCGCGGGGACCCAATTTTATTCATATAATTTAAAAATCCTAGTTTTATTTTCTTTCTAGTATTTAAACTTTTACAACAACTTTTTGAACAATGCTTATTTCTTTTTTTTTCAATAGGTAGGTGTCGTGCATATTTACATAATATTCGCTAAAGTGCTCATTTTGAGTACTTGCTGACATTTACGTTCGCACTTGTTTATATCCTTCTACATTCTACAGTCGAGTAAATGTGATAAGTAAAATTGATTTAATTACAATTATTCTTTGTGGTGACGAGTCCACCAGCTTTGCAAAAATATCATGCTATGAATCGCGCTATAAATAGCCGATTCGAAAGGGATATGGTTTGTGGTGGTTATCCCTTGTCGCCATTATCGAGCGCGCATTCTATCAACCAGATATGCACGGGCTCTGAACTAGTCATAATTTAGACTCTTGTAGGAAAGGTATTCTCCCTTTTTTATTAGGCTTTAATAATTGAGGCCAAACATGAGAATTCTATTACATCTCGAGATATTGAAAAGAATTAAAATGTATTGTTTATTATATTTTTAAAATAAACAATTTTTGACACACAAAGTGCGACTACTTTCCATGAAAAATAAATAATAAAATAAAAAATAAGCGTGTTCCATATTGACTTTCGCGTTTCGTGCTTTGACTAAGGATTTAGTAAATTCTTGGATGGATAGAACGAAATTTCCTTAAGTTATTGTAGCTTCAAATGTAAATGTATTCATGTTTTCACCGAAAGTCCTAGTTAATGCTAGGTTTGACGAAACCTGCAGGCAAATCTGGGGTAGCTTACGATACGGGGTTGGACTACAATACGTGAATATAGTGGCATTAGATTTCGTACGAATGTAGCCTGTGCTACACTTCTATATTTGCTTCTCTACGCCTTGACTTGAAATGACTGCAAGCTTTAAGTGGTTTGTCGTCTTCCGCGTCACTCGGTATAGGAAATAATACACGTGAAATGAAATGTTTTACATTCGAATGAAACTACTGTTTTTGAATAACAGAATTCTATAGTGTAAAGGAATTTCGTTCGAGGAAATTGTAATTTTTTTTATTGGACCTTGCTGTATTTTTTTTACTTTATTTCGATAACAGTGAAAAATGTTGGCGAGTACCATACGTTGATTTGGTGAATCTTGCACCATGATGGCTAGCATGTCCCATTGCTCAGCACTAAATCCGGCTCTTTGCCTTCTTCTTTTTATCGTGTCCTGTTTGCCCTAACAATTGGCATAGCTGAGTTTCGGACCACAATAGTATAGGTAATGCCATCGATACGATAAGAAGAAGAACATTGACTATTATTGTTTATATTCGGGACGATAATTTTAACCCTTATTGTATTGACGTTATTTAACAATGTAAAATACATGAGTCTATTGTATTAATAAAACGAATACCCTTACCTATACCAGCCATTCTCGAAACTGTCGCTCTGAACTGTCTGAATGAACTGCGCTAAGTCGGCGAGCGCCTGGTCCACGCTCAAGTACTTCAGCTCCTCTGGTGACGTAGTGCTGAAACGAGAGAAAATTATATATTTATTATCTTTTAATTTGATTTCAAATAGTATAATTCTTAACCTTGAGCCCTCTGTCAGACAGCTGTCATCTCCACTGGGTACCAAAAAAGACGCGCGCAAAAAATAATGGTGGTTGTGAAAACATTTGTGGATTAGATTTTTTGTATATAATAACATTAAGGACGAACAAGTTTTGCGCCTAATGTTAAGCTACACGTCTGTCCATAACAGTTGCAGTGCCATTCAGAGCTTTAAATCGCAAAGAGGGCACTGCTAATGCGCCCGTCATCCTGATACATAAGTTGACAACCGCGTGCCTGTTATTTCACCAGAACTCTTAACCTTCAAAACCGGAACACATTAATTACAATAAAAACATTACTGATTCGCGGCAGAAATAGGTAAGGCGGCAGTACTTTCCTGAATAAAAACATCTTAACAATCAAAGTAGCTGTAAAAATAATTTTATTAGACAAACTACTAATACTCTTTCTCTACATACTTGTACGCTGGATCAAAGCATTGTAATGGTGCACATATGATACAAAAACATTACTGCGTATAAGACAAGACTCTCCAGCAGTCGCATGGCGAGTGGGAAACTAGTCAAAGCAACTTCAGTGGACTGTGTCAATGCCACTCGAAAGCGGAAATGCAAATCCTTAGCGATTTCACCTTTTTCGATATTATAGGGACAATAACTTTTTTACCGACACTTGTATGCGTCTAAATTTTTAAATAACGTCTTGAAATTGGCTAACATTTTTCTTTAAAAAAAAATTAATAATTTTTATAAATATTATAAATTATTCCATTTTACTTAAATGATTCTATAAACATTTTCTATGAAAAATTAGTATTGTAATAAATAACCGTAAATATTTACTTAATAATAATAATTATTATTATTATAAGGCAACACCCAAAGTTACGAGAGAAATAAATGTAGGCCGTACAAATATTTCTCAAGGCCCGGGAATCCAACCCGGGATCTCTGCGTGCCAGACCAGCACGGTACCCTTTTACCAGAACCACGGAGACAGTTCAAAACAACAAAACACTGATCGTATCAAAACTTATTTTATTTACATAAGAACCAATATTAATAAAAAAAATTATGAAACCCTTGTTTTTTACGATAAGGTCGTAAAAAGTCAACGCAGTAAATTAAGGGACAGAAAAGTATATGTTTTTTGAGGATACTTTTAAAAATAATTCGTGAACGACGCTTCATAATTTAATAATACATACATGAAATTTGAATATGACAATTATTGTGTATTAATTCACATTTGAATTAACAAATACTAAAAAAAAATGTACTTTTAATTGTAAAATTTCAAACTGACATAATCTTTATTTCAAAGGTAAGCAAATTAGTCTTTAAATGGTCACATTCATTAAACTCTACTGCTCACTCGTAACGCAGATTCCCCCCGAGAAGAAGAAACGCAACTCTAGGGGTTGCTCTTTATAAATAAATATTTGTACACAATTATCATTTACAATATTTATTCCACATATCATTGGTTGAGACTACTTGCAAGAGCTAAACTAAAAAATCGAGTACGCGTAAAAACCTTCAGTGTAAAGTTTTTGTTTCAATGTAGCTTTAAACCGTAAATGGCAAAATAGTTTTGAATATCAACCGGAATCTTATTATAAAAGCGTACTAACATTGCCCTTTACGTTTATCAAAATGTTTCACAAAAAAGTTGATGTGAAGTCTCTTAGTGATGATATTGATTTATAAACACACGACGAATGGCTTGTATATATCAATCCTTTTAATGTTACCTGGAAAAAAATGCTATATAATAAGGCCATCATTTGAAGTTTGTGTTGTCTTTGTTTGTATTCGCCTTTGTTGGCAATAAAGAACGTATCGAACATTCTCTGGGGAACAATTGCTGAAGATAGTTGAAATCTATTTAGTGAATTAAAGGAGAGCCTTAGGAAAAATTAATATTTGAAAACAAACATTACGTGAACGCTAAATAGAAATAACAAATCAGTAAAACAATAGTATTTATTGCGATAAAAATTGTAGTAAATTCTTAACAGAAACAGTAGTTGTAAATGCAAAACTCATTAAAACATGAGGTGTGGTACTAGAGGTAGAGGGGCAATAGGGCATTTAATTCATGACGGCGTGCAATTGAGACCATTTATGTGTGACTCACGGTATGAGTCAACTCAGTGTAGTATTCACATTTACCTTGTTCATGCAATTAGTTAAGTCGAAGGGAGAATATGTCCTGTTCACCTACACTACGTTATGACGGTATTTTGAATGGGAGAGCCCATTATTATTTTTTGATATCAAGTGACGAGACGTACAAGTCTTGCGTCTGGCGGTAAGCGACACGCCTGCCCATAACAGCCCGTAACAGTTGCAGTGCCACTCATTGCTTTATATCGCTAAGATCTGGGGAGCAGTGCCACTGAGACGTAAAGATGACAAGTTTCTTGTGTCTGTAGATTTCACCCTTGCCCCGATTTTGAAAAACCGAAATGCGGTAATGCTAATATTAAAGCTGTGGCTGTAGTAGGTAGTAAGTAGGGTGACAATACTTTCCTCGACGAATTATTTCACAAGGAGCTCTATTGCTACTTAACCTGGCTGTTTTGTTGCCTCATTAAGTTATTGCCTCACCGGTGATACTGGTTCGAGTCGGATCGTAGGAATTTTTCTTTGTATTTGTTTCATTTTTGTATCATAATATCTGTTAAAGTTTTGAAACATGATGCAGAATTCAAAAGGTTATTGACACTGCTTGTATGCGGAAAACATTTTTTACCTGTCCGACAGCAAAAGCATGGTTTTACGATACCACTTAGTATGTGTGATTCTATATTTCCTCGTCACGTTCTACTCCTCGACACGGGACATCCTCTATTTAACCTAGTTTCGCTTAAAAGGAGTACACGAAAGTGAATTTTGGTATCGGAACAAGTGAGAACTGCACTTGGCATAACTGCATTGCTCTGTTGTCGACGTCGTCGAGTGAAGGACGACGAGTTGCCAGTTTGCATATATAAGTACTTGTTTTGTTCCTCGGCACGAGTCACCGTGTTAAGACATTCCATTTTATAATCTGTTTCAATTTTATGACAAATATTATACGCGGATTCCTATTGCCTTCCTTCTTTTTACTTACTATTCTTTAAGACACACTATCGACAAAATACGAAAAGAGTGCAGCGATAGCCCAGTGGGCGAACGGTTGCTTCTTAATTGTGAGGTCGACGATTCAAATTCCTATGTACCTATGACTTTAATTTCTAAGTTACGTACATTTGTGAGTGTTTTGTATTACGTAATACGTCTCGTAAATGGTGAAATAAAACATCGTGATGAAACCTGCATGTCGGAGAAGGTTCATAACCCTTTGAAGTACAGTAGGTGATTTAAGCATTACTGCGTTCCGGTTTGGGAGGGTAAGGGTGCTGGTGAAATTATAGGCACGTGGGAAACTGCTAACTGATATCTCAGTGTGACGGGCGCAGTGGCTGTGCCCCTCAAATCTTTGCGGTTTAAAGCTCTGAGTGATTTTGCAACTGTCATGGACAGACGTCTCGCTCACCACCAGGCGCACGACTTGTACCGGTATTTTAAAAACAATGATGATGAGTACACAACAATCGTCAATATGGAGTAAACTTTACTCCAAGTTACCTAGTAATACGCTTAGACTACAAAATGTGGCGTAAAAATCCATGTTTTACGTAATAATAATATTTGAATCTGTTGAAACATTTTTTTATTATTCATTACTTTAAATCAGGCAACCACCACCATTATAAAATATACCATAAGGACTAACCTACACATATATGTATAATATAGGAACTAAATAATATACGAAACGAATTCTATGTTATGTCCTTCCGTAGCTTATAAAAATCCGCTTTAGATATTGTAGATCCTTTTTCGAATTGGCCAGATAATGAAAATACATTCGCAGAAATACAAAAGAAAGGAAGATCTTTTGTTGCACTGTCAACAACGGTTGATTTTCACGCAAGAACTGACTTTAATCTCGAAAAATATTTGAAACGCTCAAATCATCTCATGCATACCGGATAACCTTCGACTGGCTTACTCTTGCTCTTATATTTGCTTCATGTTAAGGCGATTTGGTTCTTATCGCAGTACAAATAGAGTGTGGGACTATCTTAACGGGGCTTTTGTTAAGTTGGTACGACAACAAGAGGTTAATTAGTAAGGATTAAGTGCAGATAGAGTAAATCGGGACAATTTGGCAGATCGGGACAATTTGGGGACAATTCCCGCAACGAGTGTAGTTTGTTCCGGAATTTGTCTTATTTGCTGGCTTTGTGTTTTGATTGTCGTCGCCTAACACCGGTGTTGTGCCTTTGTTCTAAAACCGACTTTAATTGCACTTGAGTGTTATTTCCTAAATTAGCTTATTGTTCTCGAAATATTTGCAAAAGTTGTGGAGCAGTCAATGGGAAGAATGGTGAGAGTACGTATATGGCTTATAATTTTTCAAAATTTAAAAATATTTCTTTCAGATGAAAAAGATCCCTTGGTGGTAGTAGTAGTAAAATAAGCTTATAAGCTGTTGTTAGTAGGAATATTACATATCATATTACTTAATTAGTTAAAATCTAAAATGTCATGTACTTACGAGGCATCTCGTGCGGAGTCATTTTCGTACGAGATGCCTCACTACAGGCGCTCTGTGGTCCTCTGCCACAACCTTCAGGATGTTGTTGTTGTATGGCTTATGAGCTGTATATGTTTTTTTTTCATTTCATTAAAACACGGAACGGTTGAGAAAAATTGTCGTTGTGTCGTTGTGTGTCGTATGTTGTGTGCTGAATTCGAATTATAACCATAATAACAACAACGCACACTTTCATAGCTCCGTAGTAGGGAAACCCTGTAACGCGAGTGCCACGGACACACACATAGACAACCACAAATTACACCTAAAGTCACGAGATAAATAAATGTAGGCCATACGATGTCCCTTGGCCCGGGAATCAAACCCGGGACCTCTGCGTGACAGTCTAGCATGGTAACCGTAACCGGCCACGAAGACAGTTGGACAATGGTTACGTCACTTGTGTGGTTGCATACATTTATTAAGATTTGATATAACCTCAAGTGGTTTCGGTTGATTCCGCTTAACAGTGAAAGTGTTAAATCAATCACTTTGGAAGCAATATTAATGTAGAAAAATTGAGGATATGCACATTGATTACTATACGATGTGAAAAAACGATTCCTAAAAATGTTCACAATGCATAAAAAATCACAAACTTACCTCGAAATTTTACGAAAAAACCGCTGTATCCAATAAGTACTTTACATATACCAATTTGTTTTTATTCCAACTGAACTAAACAGAACACGTATAGTATAGGATATTATACATTTTTCAAATTGCTTTAATTTCGTTTGTAAAAAAATAAATTCTGAAATAAAAACAGTGTCCTGCCGCAATAAGAGAACCCGTTCGGTTCGGGAAAAGTTAGAATTCGAGCTGAGGTGGTATCTTTTTCTCTTTTTCTATCTTTTTGGTCTTTTATGTATAAGTTCCAAACGGAGAACATTGAAGTCATCAAAATTAATTATAGTTTTGGAATTGATTATTATTTTAATGATCCTGATGCTCTAACACAATTTCATTAACTTTTGCAAGTATTGTTGGCTTTACAATTTAATTGATCGTATGTTGAAGTTAATGAAAGAGGAAAATCCTAAGGAAACGTATCTAACGGAAAAAAGAAATACTTGTTTTTTAATTATTTTCATTTGTTCGTTCACAATGACCATACGTCAAGTATTCTTGGAAAAAATTCACAAGATATAATTTACCTATCTATCCACCCATTATATGATGTCTATTAGTTTAATGGCAATTAATTTCTTACATAAAACAATCTTTTATTATTCGAATTTTCATTGTTTCAATGAAATAAAATCAGATAAAATGAACGAAATGATAATATTAGGTACGTTATAATATTATATATTAGGTAATATTACGTTCTTATTTCAGTGATCGCCGTTTCTTATTTGCTTTCTCTTATTAGGTGGTATCGGATCGAGTGTGATCACAAGACGACAACGCGGACGATGTAATATTGGGGCTCTAGAGTGCCCAATATTACACTGCTTACGTCAATTGAATATGAAAAAGTTATGTCATGATTTCCAGAAACTGGATCCAGCAAGTGTCGATTCCAACATTAGGTATACTGGCAACGGACTAAAGTTAAAATATTTGAATCCAGTGTAGCGTCACATTTTCAATTTCTGTGTCTTTTGTTTCCATTTACATTCCGCTTCCCGCGGGGGTCGTGCTGGCTTCCGCAATTACGATTCCACCCGAATTAGGTTTAGGATGCGGGTGGAGTCGACATGGAGGGAGGCGGTACACGGGTACAGGTACCTCCCGTAACTTGCTTCAAACGCTAGCGTCCCAGAATCTACGTAAATCAGCCTTTATTACAACCGTCGTTCCATTATCAAAGTACCATACTACTCGCTTGCCTTAAATATCCGAGACATGTCTGATAATCTCCCAGTATTGGGAGACATATAATGACAGTAAAAGGTGCAGGTCAAGTGGCCGCTGAGCCACTGACCCTAAGGTCTCATGACATTAATAGATATGGGTTTCTACGTGACATCAAGGCATCATTTCTTAGTTGACTTGTTTTTGTTTACGGATTGCTTAAAAGATACCAGTGTCCAACAGAAGGATACACAAGATATACGCTCTAGCAAGAAGTCCATGGGACACACACATTTTTGCAAATTTAAATATTAAGTATTTGATCGTACTTATCAAGCGTTTTGAAATCTATTATTAAAATGACTGAGGACGTAAAGTTTACAGGACTCGGTTTTCTCTTCCTAATGTTCATTTTAGTAGCTTTAGCCAAAATCTTAACATCTTCGCGGGTGATAGTTTGTTTTTAAATTTTAATACGTGCTGTGCCGACCCTACCTAGCGTCGGATAAGGACAGGAAGAAAAAGAAGAATGAAAATGGTTAGTAAAATCCTGTAATTCATGTACGTGTTAATTGATTACGTCGCCCATAATACTGGGATATAAAGCAGTTTGGATTGTGTGTTTATCTTTACTGATTCGCCGTCGGGCGAGTGAGGAGGCGTGCCGTGGCATACGACTAGCTCGTTATCTCGAAATCGCGGCTATAGCGTTAAATACCGTATTATGGCGTTATTACAAAGTAAGTTAGAATATAATAGATTAGGTACATATTCCTGTTCAAAAAACAGCTCGTTGCCAAATGTTGAGTGTTGTTAATTACAGTGGTAACCCAGCGGGAAAACGAATGCTATTCAATTGATAGGTAAAGACGGTTCGAACTCCTGTGGCAGCACGTCTATCTGTGGCTTTGAAGGAAAACATCGTGATGAGATCCGCACATCGAACATGGTTCACAACGTTTACAAAACTTCTGAAGTCTTTTACTGTAGCAGACTATGACCTCAACTCTGGGGGACATTTAATGGATTGGTATGTTTGTTACAGTCTTTATTATCCGTTAGGTACTACTGTAATAAATCTGTTCAAGATGTTTTGTCGTTCGTTACATACTGTTGCCTTGTACGTGTAAGCATATACTCACTTGGTGGGCCTTGTGTCCCCGTAGTAACGGTGCTCTGTATAGAAGAGCGCCGCGGACTCTCTGGCGGCCAGCTCGTAAGCCAGGCCGCCCCGCATCCAGCCTTCGCTGATACGCCACTCGCCGCCTATGAAAATGACGATGTTTGTGCTCCTGGCGTGTCTCGAATTGTAGTAATAACGCTGTAAAAGACCGTTTTTTTACTTTGAGTAAGTTGCTTTGTCACATCATTTTTTTTCAACGGTTACTTGAGTCTATAGTGTCAACATTAGAGTTTCATGGGCATGGAACATTATGGTAGTAATTCGTGATTCTAAAAATTAATTGTGACTAAAAACCAAAAGAGACGATTCGTGCTCAGCTGAGGAACATACACGGGTCGATAAAGTTACAGATAGTCATCTTTCCCCAAAAAGGTGTTACGAACCATTGGAAAGACATCTGTGTTAGTGGCAGCGAATTGGTTCAAACGGACGTAGATGAAGCCTTCCGTCACTGTATCGTTGCTGCCGTCACGGCTCGCGGGGACGGGAGGCGGGGGCTCCAGTGTACGGAGCCCTACGGCCAACGGGAGAAGGAGTAGATACCCTGAAACATTGTTAAAAAGTTAATATGTACAAGTTGGTCTATGAAACTGTCACTTTTTTAATTAATAAAGAATTTTGCAACCGTATGCACGTATGCTAAGGTGCGCAGGTTACAAGAATTTGGATGATATTGAGAAATTCATGAAAAACATATAGGAGAGAGACTTAGTGGACGAAGTCTAAGACGGGAAAATATACCTACTATAGTAGGTATACATTTTCAAGACTCATTCCGAACTTTTAAACTTTGATCTTGGAAAACGGGTTACGAAAACGTATGGGATTTGACATTGAATTCGGAACCACAGACTGGGTTTCAAGTTACACGATCAACACCAAAATATTTGAAATGGTCTAATGTCAAACAATGCATTTTTAGATGTCGAGAAGCCCGTGCTGTACGTTCTTGATGATATATTTATATAGTACTTACACGTTTCCATAATTAATGCAGTAAACACAATGCGACTAATCAAATGTAGCAACACCTCAGGCATTAACGTATAATTCTGTTTTATCAGATAACATATTTCAATGCGGCGATATGCTAAAACGACGTAACTAACATCTAAGCATTCTAAACGGCGTGTTACGGAGCTCCTCCTCAACTTCTAACTCTCCCCTGTACCTTCATTTATTTCCTTATTACGTAGTGTTGTTAATTTCCTGTATTTTTTCCTTAATATTATTACTATTATTCTATGTATCCTACATTATTAGTACCTACTCAACATGTATTTATTTGAAGTGCCTACTTCTATTAGAAGATATTCATTGGCTGCACCCTTTATGCAAATGAGGACATACACTTAATTATTTATCGTAAAGTTGCCTCGAAGAAATTGCTGCACACCAATAAGACCGTATTCTCTTAAACAACTTATTTACAGCATAATCATTGTGTTTGGCCTCGCCTTAGTCGGGTATAGAATAACAAAGATTAATTAAAATTTTCAGATATATCTGTTTATTGGAATGATTATAGATAACTACGACGGTGCCAATTTAGATATTACTATTAAATTTCTTTATCGCTATCAGAACTGATACACATTGTATAAAAAAAATAAAAGATTATTATTAAAATGTCGCGGTATGAACGAGCGTGGCTGCAAACATAATTTGTAAGTAAGTGTTATTTTTGGGAGATACACCGCCATCCTACTTTTTTCTACAGGGACAATGTGAACAGTTGCAAAATATTCGTGTATGGTATACCATAATACCCTTTGACCTTGCCGGTCATATCAAAAGTCTTTGGAAACAGCGAGCGTGTAGGTAGGTTTGTCATAAATAGATCAAGCCAAATAGAAGATGGTGAATACATATTTTTTTAAGCCTGCTAGATCCTAGGCCATAGCGCCGGTCAGCGTCAGATTATGGTGATAGACATACAACGCTTATCTTGTACACCCCATTCAAGTATCCATTAACACATGTTATAGTATTTATATTGTTCCATCAATGATTATGGTTCATAGGCCGATTGTAGGTAATTGATAGATAATCGCATGTGTAAAGTCCAGCGCCAAGTGACCAAGTGGGCTGGAACAATGGGAGATGCATCAGGTCACACCTGCGTCCATTGTTTGGCACATGTGCACGCCGGTCACGCGCGATGATTCACAACACGTGCTAATGTAGGGTTACTGGTGCTAGAGCAATGCTGGAAATGACAAACACCGACGCACCGCGCAAACGCAAAAAGCAACTTACATATCGTGCATTTATCGCTTAGCTGTATCTAGGTAGGAGTGCACCAATAGATATCGTATGTGTCACGTAAATACTTACGTCAAGTGGGCAATGACGACTAAAACCCTGACAGATGTGAAAGAGGTCTAAAAACAGGCTAATTGCGTCAGATGTAATTTCTCCGTTGCTGTGTACCACGTTACAAAAGTGTGCGGCGTAGTACCGGGTTGTGGGGTGCCATTTTGATGTAAACGATAAGGTACATGGAGAGAGCCTCCTCGCGGTGCGCACCAATAACAGCAGTAAAGCAGTGCCTAGAACAGCTAATCTTTTCAAAACGATGCTTTAATGTAAATGATTGCATTTCCGTTATAGATTTCTGCAGATCGACGCATCGAAATTAGGTAATACTTTACAGAACCCATAGTGTTCCTCGCCTACCAATGGTCCTGAACAACTATACACAAAGGTACAAAATCTCCCAAAGCTCGACGCGAGTCTATCACGAAAATTAATTAAACTTAAAAGGCAAGAGCTTCGCACTTTAACCGCCGCCCTACCTATGGACCATGACCCGTCCATACAATGAACACCTTTTCTTTAAGTACACTTTTTCTTTTTATTTAAGTATCACAGACAGCCCTCTCTATGCAGAGCGTGCATGGAGGGGGAAGAAACGGCTGCGCAAATCCTACTACAGTACTCCGGCGTGGCCAACTACAGGACGCGCTAACTGGTAGTGCCGAGGTCCATCCCCGAAGTCTTCGGCAAACCGAGGAGGTTGCTGAGATTCCTGGAGGAGCTAGGACGGCACGAGTGGGACCCTGCACCGACCACACGGAAAATTGACGATTAACGTCGAGTTGCGGACACCTGCCCGTTATACAAAGTACCAAGTACCAAGTCGGTAATACTTTTATTATTTGAAACTCGACAGCGAGATGATTAAACATTCAAAAAAATAAATCTACATATCACAGGTGTGTAGTACTAAACTATTAGAAACCATACTTTTATGTTTACTGTTACATTTATGGTTTCGTTCACAATATTGTTGAATAAATTTACGCTGGGTCCAAAATGTCACTTCCATTAGCCGACGTGTTATATATCCAGGCGAATTGAGGGGTTTAATACTATGCAAAGTTAACGGTGACCCTACAACGTTCTACTGCGGTTCTCCAATTCACTTTCAAAAATGTCTACGTGGTGACTAATACGGTCACTGTTGCTGTTGAATGTGATTCATAGTGTTTATTATGCTATGGGGAAACGCGATCGCTTCACCCGTTAGGGGACTACTTCGCTTGTTTTTTACCTCAACCCAATTTACATTTACGCTCTGGTGGGTTGTAAAAGTTTAAACAACTTATTTTTTGGTGAATTTACGGGCAGATGGAACTTGTAAACATATGTCTAAGAGTCTCTACTATTCCTTCCGAATCGGAGAAATGACCGATGGTCCGAAAAGTCACAAGTGTTTGAAGTGGCATTTAATCTCAAGGAGTACGAGACTTCGAGAAATGTACAAGTCTAGAAAAGTCGGACCCAGTTCGGATGCCGCTGACTTAATGCACTAAGGCCGATTCGAGCCCGAGAAAATACGAACATTAAAACGAAAATTATTTGTTGAAAATTATACTTTAATATTATATGGAGTTTAAATGTTCACTTTGTAAAACTGACTGTTTTATAGCTTTACCTATAACTGTGTGTACAGCGTCGGTTCCACGCGGATTAAATTCTTTGTAATAGGTAGTAGACCTACGATAAATCCAATCTCACAAGCGATGAATCAACACGAGGAGTGCGCGAACGCCGTGAGAACATGCTACACAAGCTAACTGTGTTATGCATCATTATGGTTATGTATTATTTCCGCATTACATAGGCATTATGTTGCAAAAATGTCACGTATTTATCTCTTTACTTTTAGCAATTGTTACACGACGTCTCGTGGTGTGTTTGAGAAACGTAATTGATTATGAGCCTTTAGTTCTTTTGGTTTGACCAGGTGACGTTCTAGTCATTCGATGTTTATTATTAGAACAAGATATTCGAAACAATTATGTGCGAGAATGCAAATGAACTCCATTGCTTTGTTTGCGTTGCAGTGAAATTATGTGCACTATCGTTTATTATGCAATGGTAAGCTTGTATTGTTCAAAACGTCGCGTCGTTTAAACTGCACACTAAATCTACACGGATTTGTGGTGGTGCAGAGTGTATTATTAAGATCCTAGGAGTATTTTTTATGTACTAATGAAGTTAATTTTCACAATATTAGCCTATAAACAACGCCTCAAGGTTCGTGTGGAGGACTATGACTTAAACCTCATTTAGAGCAGGTCGGTGCTCTGCAGCGCATCGACCTAAATTATGATATGAATTATATATTGAATAGTTCCTTTGAGGAAATCGTTTGTGGATGGTATGACATAGTTTTGTTTTCACATGAAAGTTATAGACTGAACGTGTTGAAATATAGCATTTTTCTGTTTAGGTGCTGTACTGGTGTAGTACGATGAATCGTAATGTTTCATTTGGATAAGTATAAAAATATGGCGCTCAATGAATAATAATTTGTTGAATATTCACAATATCAAAGAAAAAATCTATCGTTAGAGGAGATCTGTGCTCGGCATTGGGACTAATAACGAGCTGACGATAATGAGGATGAAGATGAGTAAAAAAAGTATACATTTTGTATCTTTAATGAGATGAATTTGCCACCAGCATACTTATATAAAAGTACCTATTTTTTTTATCTAATTTTGTTCATACAAGCACAGTAAAAAAGGGACAGTAGTCTATTTTGGAAGTGTGAAATTTGGTACAATAGAGGTCCCATTATACTCGTTTTAGGACCTCTCGCGACGTAAACAGAGAGCAGAGGGAGGGCCCTCGCGCCCTCGGAATGAGAGGGCTTAGGGCTAAGCCGCAGTCTGTTTAATTGACTAAAGTGCTTCGTAATAGAGCCCTCTGCTTTTTGTTTTGTTTATCCGGACTTTCTAGCTTTGCGATTACAAAGGGAAGTTAAATTTAATACATTTTCAAGTTTTCGTATTATATTGCAAGGATTCGTTACACAAAGAAATAAAGCCAAATCTTCCCGTAACGTCGTAGTAAAAACCAACAATAGAAGTAGAATTGGGAGATGGGTAGCAGCGTCCTCAATATAATATGAAAATAGCTCATTCAGCTTTTTCTGTCTGGCGATGGATGGAACTTCTCGATTGACTTATCCTGTTTTGTAAGGAGTTCTCCCACTGTGGTACCACGCTCTAAGCAATGGGCTCATAGTGCATAACAAAATGTCATAACGACTTATAAGTCAAAGACTATTTTCATGCCGCGCTGAAAGTCAAATGTAAATTTATGTTACGACGCTATTGCTGTTATTCATTTGCAATCTCGACTATTCCAGTGTGCATTATTAGAGCTGATATCAAATGCCGATGAAATATAACCATCAAAGGTGCGGCTTCAAAGCGAAATAAAACTCGCACCGATGGCGAAAACTACACTCAAATGACCG